TACACGTGGACCTCACCAGATGGAATACACAGGAATCAAGTCTTCTACATCTGTGGAAAGCGATGATGGAAGAGCTCAATAACATCAGTCAAAACAAGGCTGGGGCTGCCTGCAGAACAGAACATCAATTGCTCATATGCACGTTCAAGGTGAAGCTGAAGAAAATTAAAACAAGTCCACGAGAGCCAAAATATGACCTTGATTATATCTCTCCTGAATTTAGAGACCATATGAAGAATAGATTTGACACACTGAACACCAATGCCCAAAGACCAGGTGAGTTGTGGGATGGCACAAAGGACATCAAAGATGAAGAAAGCGAAAGGTCATTAAAAAGACAAGAAAGGAAGAGGAAAAAATAAAAAGAGGATGTCAGAAGATTCTGAAACGTGCTCTTGAACAAAAAAGGAACTAAGGCGAATGGAATAAATGATGAAAAGAGCTGAACAGGTTTCAAAGGGCAGCTTGAGAAGACAAAGTATTATAATGAAATGTGTAAGTAAGTGGAGTCAGAAAATCAAAGGGAAGAACATGCTTGGCATTTCTCAAACCGAATGAACTGAAGACAAAACTCAAGGCTTCAGCTGCAATACTGGATTCTAAAGGCAAAATTTTCAACAATGAAGGTAACATCAAAAGAAGGTGGGAGGTCACCCCAAAACATTTAGTCAATGTTCAACCATTTCAGGAGGCAGCATATGATCAAAAACTGATGGTACTGGAGGAAGAAGTCCGAGCTGCACTGAAGGAATTGGCGAAAAACAAGACTGCAGGAATTGACAGAATACCCACTGAGATATTTCAACAAATGCATGCAGCGCTGGAAGCCCTCACTCATTTATACTGAGAAATTTGGACTACAGCTACCTGGTCAACCAACTGGTACAGATCCGTATTTGTGCCCATTTCAAAGAAAGGTGATCCAACAGAATACAGAAATTATCAAACAGTATCATCAATATCACACACCAAGTAAAATTTTGCTAAAATAAATTGGTTGAAGTACATAGAGAGGCATAAATTCAAGCTAATTTCTGAAGAGGACATGGAACAAGGGGTATCACTGCTGATGTCAGATGGCTCTTGGCTGAAAGTAAAGAATATCAGAAAAATATTTACTATTTTATTAACTATGTAAAGGCATTCGACTGTGTGTGGATCATAACAAATATGGATAGCATTGTGAAGAAGAGGAATTCCAGAACACTTAACTGTGCTCATGAGGAACCCATACAGAGACCATGAGGCTGTCGTTTGAACAGAACAAGGGAAAATTGCATTTTAAAATCAGGAAAGGTGTGTGTCAGGGTTATAGCCTTTCATCATACTTATTCAATCTGTATGCTGAGCAAATAATCCAAGAAGCTGGACTATATGAACGTGGCATCAGGATTGGAGGAAGACTTGTTAACAACCTGCAATATG